GTGTCCTTGTGCACGCGCGCGGCGCATGCGTGCGTACTAGCGTCTGTGCGATGCTCCAGCTGCTCCTGGAGGATCGCGCAGGCGCTGTATGTGTCCTGCGCATGTGTGGAAGCACAGAACTCGTCAAAACCGGGTAAGGAGCGCGGGCGGATGGGTGCGCCCTTCGCCGTTCCCGGAAGTTATTTACTTTTGGGTTCGCCGACCAACTGGTTCGCAGGGACCGCCGCGAACCGGTAGAAACCACCCCTGGGCTGCAGGTAAGTGCAAGGTGCACGCGGAGGCTGGGGGAGGATGGAAAACATGCCTACTGGAAGTTCGGGCCATTTCCAGCCGCCAGAGGGCCTTTGGAGCATGGGGAGGCCATTTTTGCCCTCCTGAAGGCTGAAGGAAACCCTCCGGAGCCTGGGGAGGACAAAAACGACCCCCCTGCTGTGGTGACGGAGGCTGACTAGGCCACGCCCACCATGGCCACGCCCACCGAGCAATCGGGGCAAGAACCCCTTGCTAAAACTTTTGAAGCCCAGCCCTGGATCGGTCATCGCGAAAGGCAGTTTCCAATTTCCTAAAATGACCCCTTTGAACGGTGGTGTCTGCCGTTTCCTTTGCTGCTGCCGAATGAACAGAGAGAAAAACAATCCAGCCTCGCTCTTTGTCTCATGTTTTTAAAAATTAAATATAAATATTTCAAGTGTCCGTACATTTCTCCCTCTTTTGTCTCTGGAGCAACCACGGGGTTCAAGCAGGCACGGCCCCAAACGGCCTCTTGAGAGATCTTGCTTGAAAAAGGCGGGGAAGAGAAAGAAAGAAAAAAAAAAGGAACAAAAAAAAAATTGAACCAAAACTTTGTTGGTTCCGAAGACACGAAAGCAACCATGTCCTCCCCTTGTAAATGCCCTACGGGAGCATAGAAATACACTTAAGGCATTAAAAAAAAGAATAAAAAGGAAAAGGAACGGGAGGAATAACTTAACTCGAAAGAAAACCGACAGCTTTATCCATTCCCCCATAGATGCACAAACAAGATCAATAGACCTTGCTCGTTTTTGGCTTCTTGCTCTCTTCCATGCTCTGCTTTTCTTTTCTTGCCCTCCCTTAAATTAGATTTTATTCATTTCAACCTTATTGTCCGTTCAAGTTTTCTCTTGCCGTTGGGATTAAACACCACTGCCACCTGCTGGCACGTCTCAGGTGCTGCAAGTGCTTGGAAATACCGCACCTTTTCCCCCCATTAAAACATGGCACTGCCATTACCTAAGGAAGGGGAAGGAATTCCGTTGCCTTTATATATCCATCCAGGGTGCCCACCCGCCTGCTTGCTAAAGAGAGGGAAGATGGGAGTTATTTAAACCAGTGTTTCTCAACCTCAGCCACTTCTAAGGGCATGGTGGACTTCAACTCCTCCGGTTCCTCCAGCCAGCCATGCTGGTGGGAGAATTCTGGGAGTTGAAGTCCACACACACACACACACCCTCTTCAACTCGCTGAGGTTTGAGAAACACGGGTGTAAACCACAGCATCGAACCAGGAAAATGAAAATACAAGCACTAGTGCCCATGCGTAAAGATTTCCCAGAATCATGCGACTGCAGGGACGGGGGAAGGGGGAGCCAAGGTGGCGCATCAGTCAGTCCCACTGCTGAGGCAGCTCGATCACCAATGGATTTGTAAGCTACACTTATGGCTGATCTCCCATGAAAGCTTGGCCACCATGTGAAATCTGGATTCTTACAGACTGAGTCTCCCCCCCTGTAAGTCAGGTCCAGACCCAAAAGGGGGAAACACGTTGCATCCTGGGTCCATTTTCATGTCCTGACCCCAAAAAAAGAGTCTGTCTATTGATTGCTTCACAGTTCTAGGTTCCGGTCGGTAGAAGGCAAGCAGGATGGTGGCCATCTTGGTTGCCGGAGTAGCCCCCCTAGGCCAGTCCCCTGTTGAGGTGTCCCCCTTCCAGAGGGCGAGGCTAGTTTGGGGCCCTCGGGAAGAAATTTGAGGTCCTCAAGAGTGTCCCCTCTGGAACCGGTTTCCCCCGAAGCGAGTGTCCACTTCCGTTTCTTTCTCACGGAAGATGGGAGGAGTCCGGAAGGGGTGGGGTTCCGTCATACGTGGGTCTGCATGCGCTGTTGAGCAGGGCGCCCGTAGTCAGACTGCTGAGACAAGGAAGTGTAGGAGAAACGGGAGCAGCCCGAAGCTTTGCTGGCTTGGTCGGACTGCTCGTAACCGCTCTCGGCTTTCTCATAGCTGCTCGGCTTGACGTAGCTGGTGAAAGCCCGGCTGTAGGGAGCTGTGAGGTAAGTCGCCCCACTGTATATGTTCTCTGGAGGGAAAAGCCGCTCCTGGGTGGTGTCGTAGGCTGAGCGGGAACTGGGAGTGCCCAAGGTGTAGCGGTGGGTGTAGTCAAAGAGTTTGGGTTGCACCGGCCCCGCGGAGGGGTACAAGGACGTTGGCCCGAACAAAGGTCGGGGGGCCGGCGTGTATTCTGAAAAGCTGCTCCCCAAGCAGGGCTCCTCGTGGGCACGCACCTTGTAGTAGCCATTGGTGGGGTCCTGCGGAGAAAAAGACGGCCATGAGGTTAGAGGTGGACTCACTGCTCGGTTCTAAGTCGCCAGCTAGGAGCTGTGCCATTTTATAGGATACGGTGCTGAAGAACAGTTTTCCATGTTTAGGAATGATCGTATTTTTCAGAGTGTAAGATGTACCTTTCCCCCCTCAAAATAGGGGGCGACAGTCTGGGTGCATCTTATACACCGAATACAGAATTTTTGACCTCCCGAAACCCCGCCCCCCTTGCAAAAATGGACGTGCAGAGTTTGGGAGGCTTGCAAAGTGCTCCTGGGGAGGGCAAAAAAAGCAAAAAACAGGCCGTTTTTGCCCCCCAGCCCCCAGTGGCACTCTACAAGCATCCAAAGTCTCTGCATGCCTTTTTTTTTGCAAAAAAACAGCCCATTTTTTGCTCATTTTTACCCCCCCCCATCCCAGCCCATAAGAGCACTTTAAGAGCCTCCCAAAGCTCGTCATGCCCCCCCTTTTTTTTGCAAAAAATGAGGCGTGCAAAGGGTTCGGGAGACCTGCATAATGCAAAACCTTTTTTTTTTCAAAAAATACCTCTTCAAAATCATGCTGCATCTTATACTCTGGTGCGTCTTATACTCCGAAAAATACAGTATCGGTCACAGGTAAAGCTAAATCTCATCTATCGTAGGAATCTTCTCCCCCCACAATTTCCTTTCCCCTCATTTGTTTATTCATTGGAGACATCTCCATCCCACCTAAGAGCTGGAGCCTACTGGTGAAGGTCTTCTCCCATTCATCTCCACCAACACATCTTGGGAAAGGTGGCGGCTTGAAAGACAGCAAGTGGTCTACAATTCCCCAGGCAGACCCAGGACCAAAAGGGGGGGGGAACCTGAATGCAAATCCCTCTGTAACTGCACTGGCTGGGTCAGATATGTGGGAAAATCCTGCACAGCAGCGGCTGCCGAGCTCACCTTTAGCTCCTGACTCCCTTCGTCATCCTCCAGGATTTCACTGTGTTCAGTGTGCGACGTGGCTGGAGACTCGCTGCTTGTAGCCTGGAGGCAGAGGAAGGGGGAAAGGTGAGCATTGCTATCCAAGAGGGCTTTGCATAAGCTTGGGACCCAGAATTGAAACTGCCCATCTGGCTTAGAATGGAGCAATAATGCCAGGGTATGGGAGGAGGAGGGGGGGAAGGAGAAGGGGAGGAGGAGGAGAAGGACAAGAAGAAAAGAAGGAGGAGGAGGAGGAGGAGGAGAAGAGGAGGAGGTGAAGGAGAATGGAAGGAGAAGGGGGAGGGGAGGAGGAGGATAAGGAGAAGAAGAAAAGAGTAGGAGGAGGAGGAGAAGAAGAAGAGGATGAGGAGGGGGAGGAGAAAAGAAGAAGAGGAAGAGGAGATGGAGGAGAAGAAGAAGAAGAAGGAGAAAGGGATGGAAGGAGAAGGGAAAGGGGAGGAGGAGAAGGAGGAGGAGAAGAAAAGAAGACGAAGAAGAGGAGGAGGAGAAGAGGAGGAGGTGAAGAAGAAGAGGAAGGGGAATGGAAGGAGAAGGGGAAGGGGAGGAGGAGGATAAGGAGAAGAAGAAAAGAAGATGAAGAAGAGGAGGAGGAGAAGAGGAGGAGGAGGAGGAGAAAAGAAGAAAAGGAAGAAGAGGAGGAGAGGAGGAGGAGGAGAAGACGAAGAAGAAGAGAATAAAGGCAAATTTAAAACAATAACACATCACTTGGTGGTTGCCAGACCATTGGGAGCTGCCTCTAAAAACTGTAGGCCCAAATATGAGCCAATCATGGACAGGGATATTCAAATGTCACCAAACAAGAACTTGGAGGCCATGTGGACCTTCCTGGTGGCCCATTCTATGTTCTAGGGTTGTCAGGTTCCCTCAGGGTCCCAAAGCAATAGGGCAGCCACCAAGGGTTGAGCAGGGACAGCCAAAGGGCCGGATGTGGCCCCTGGGCCATAGAATGCCAGGGCCTGACCTACATACAGTACTCTAGTGAGCCACCTTCTTAACTAACTTCCTCCCAACCACATTTTCCATGCTTTGCTGGCCCTTTGGCCTCTGGAATGCAGCCTCTCCCTCCTGGGAATCCAGATTACATTCCACCACAGAGGCCAAGTGCGATATGTGTTTATGCCATACCCTCAAATGGAGTGGCTGCATTTCTATGACATGCTAGGCTTGATTAGTTTTAATCTGAATTATTTTGGGGGAGAGGGTGGGGAAGGTAGTGTGTTGTGTGAACGATATCCATTTAATCAGGTAGAGTGCAAAGAATTGAAACAAGATTTATTCACTAACCAGACTGAATGGGCTGCGTGAACATAGCCAATAAAGATTTAGCATTAGGCGGTTTGTGTTCAATAACAACTCCTTTCATTTCAAACATTCATGTGATAGGATTAGGGCTAAAAGAATGGCTAAAACAGTGCCCTCTATGGCTGTGAAGGGGCATCTATGGCACACAGAGCCCGCTATGTGGGCAATGCGAGCCGTTGCCCCAGCTCAGCTCCACTGCGCATGCGCACGCGCCTCCCGCTGGCCATCTGGTTTTCGGGTCTCTGATGTGCATGTGAAGGGGCACATGTGGGAGACATGCATGCATGTGTGGGGTGGGGTACACGGGGCCCACACTATTCTACAACATTTAGCTGCAGCTCCTTCTCTGCCCCTCACCAGGGGTGGGCTACGATGGGTTTGGAAGAATCTGTAGCTAATGTTATGGCTGGTTCGGAGAACTTCCAAATCCCAACCCTGGCTGGCCACGCCCCTCCCTCCCTTCCCCTCCCAGGAGTCTCCATGCGGCCTGTTTTGAATGCCAGGTAAGTTTAAGGCCCACACAGAGGCTCGCGGAAGGGGAAACACAGGCCTACTGCAAATTCCGGGCCACGGGGCCTCCGGAGCCCAGGGGAGCAATTTTCCCCTTCCCAGAAGCTCAAGGAAAGCCTCTGGAGCCTGCGGAGGGTGAAAATGAGCCCCTCACCATGGTGCAGGAGGCTGACTAGGCCACGCCCACCCAGCAACTGAGCAGAGAACCCTTTGCTGAAATTTTTGAAGCCCACCCCTGCAAAGCACCCACACACAGTGTGTAATTTTGAATTCTACCTGTGCCTCATTTGCTTGTGGTTACAATGATAAAAGGAGAAGTACTTTCTCTCTCTCCCCTCCCTCTTTCCCTCTCTTCCTCCTCCCTCTTCCCTCTCCCTCCCTCTCTCTCTTCCTCTTCCCTCTCTCCCTCCCCGCTCTCCCTCTTCCCTCTCTTCCTCCCTCTCCCTCCCTCTCTTCCAAAGCAGGCAGGCTTGGCTAGCTGGGACTGGATGCTGCAGAAAGAGGGGCTTGAGAGAAACAGGGGATCNCTGTAGGTGTGGCCTGCTTTCCGGGTCCACTGGTGGAACCTCTTCTAACCGGTTCGGTAGATTTGATGAACCGGTTCTACCGAATAGGTGCGAAGTGGTAGGAACCCACCTCTGGTCAGGGGTGAAATCTACTTTGCTTCTGGTTCGCAAATGTGACCGCACTCACGCACCACCTACATGCATGCGAGTGATCAAAAACGGACATGATGATGTTCGCATGGGTGGGAGGAGCGTGCTATCGAGCGTGCCTGCAAAGGTAAGTAGAACAGCAAGGGGTGTGTAGGGAAATCCGTTGTGGCTTAGATTTAGATTAGCTAGAAAGCATGAAATCCTGCTTCCTAGCTATTATAAATTGTGCGTCATAGCTGATCGTTGAAAATACTGGTTCGTCCGAACCGGTAGCATTTCACCCCTGATCTGGGTCCTCGAAACTTAATCCACAATCCAACCTCACAGATATGGATCAATGACGCATCTCCAAATTTAAAACAAAGCAGGCTGTGAATCCATTGTTATTGGAAAGTCCTTTGTCCCGTCCTGTTCTTTATAAAGCACATATAAAAATGTGTAAACTGCCACTTTTAGCCAGGTAGATTTCTTCATGCTGTGCATTTTGTTTTTCTAGTGTTGCACCGATATATGCAAGGAAGATAATCTAGTTCTAATTTTCTGGATTTATATTACCTGTTCACTTTCAGTTCCATCTGGGATATTTCTCTTGGCAGTTTAAACTTAAACATGGTTATTTTTTTATTTTCACTAGAATATAAAACTCTACATACATATTTTCTTTGAGACCCACACTTTATGATAGTAATGGATGGAGTCTGAAGCAAAAGTGGGCAGAGACATTCATTTCTTCTCTTCTCCCTTTTCTTTCTCTTTCTTTCTTTCTTTTTCTTTCTTTCTTTCTCTTTCTATCTTTCTGTACTTCCCTTTTCCTTCCTTCCTTCCCTTTTCCTTTCCTTCTTCCCTTCCCTTCCTCCTTTTCTCTCCTTTCTCCTACTCTCTCCTTCCTCCCTTCTCCATTTGATTCTCTTTCTTCTGCCCTTCAACCCACATCCCAGGGACAACTTGCTTTCCGAGTTGAGGCTTTGCAAAGAGATTTGAAATGAGACTGAAAATCAACTGCCCCTTTGTCTGTGGCAACCCATTGTCATTTATATCTTTGTCTCCAAACCCATCATGGGAAGCATTCACAAGCTCTTGGTATGCAGCCGTGATGAAAAAAAAATATATTTGGCTAACAACAACAATAACAAGATCACAATGAAGCCATTTAGATCACTTAAGCATGGCCGATTATGCTGGTGAGAAGCAGAGAGAGTCAGCAATATCTCATTCTCTCTTCTATTCCCCCACCCCGCGGCATTAAGATAGTGTGACATCAGCCCCATCTGCTATTAAAAGCAGTGGCACATCAGAGTTGTTGTGAAATACGTGCACATGTACATATGTGCTGAGAAGTCCTAAGAAGAATACAAACCATGTAGCAATGTGTATATTGCTGAATGATATAATTTATTTTGATTTCCTGCTATATAATAGAAAAACCATTGTCTGCCTCATATATTAAGGGTGCTCTCCAGATGCATTAGGACTTCACTTCCCAGAATTCTTAGGCCAGGTTGGCTTGGCATGTTGGGGACTGAAGTCCTAAAACATCTAAAAACATCACAAAGCTCTACCTTTCTCCAAAAATGATGAAACTCAGTAATGACATAGCTTTTAAACGAGATTAGATAACCCATGCCCCACTGGATCGTTGTTTCAGAGGTACCGTATTCCCTTATTTAAACAAAGAGAATGTCCAAGAACAGGCAAAGAAGCAGCGGGAGCAGAACTGACTTCCAACTTCCAGCCAGCTTCACCACTGAGCTTACTTGTAGGAATTTGGCAGGGAGCCTTGGAAAATTTCCTTCCTTCCTTCCTTCCTTCCTTCCTTCCTTCCTTCCTTCCTTCCTTCCTTCCTTCCTTCCTTCCTTCCTCCCCCTCCCTTCCCTTTCCAGCAGGAAGGTAAATGGCTGCTGTTGGGTAGGGAGGCAGCAAGGGATTGCTAGAGTGGCTGGGAAACTGTCACAGAACGTTGAAAATTAAGATCATGTGAATGCCGCAGCAGTCCAGCAGCGCACTTGGCAGTACTAGTACTGAGGCAACCACAACTTTCTCAAATGTCACATTGTGAGTCCCGGATTTTGGAGACATTCTTTATGTTAGCCCTTTCAAAGTACATTGCTACAAAAATGGTTGAGTTTTGACCAGTTAAAGGTTATGACAATGAGAATTTTAGTAGTAGAGTGGTACCTCGGTACTCGACTGCTTCAAAACAAATTTGATACTCGATGCATTTTGATGTGAAGAAGCTGTTCCAGTACTCAGCATTTGTTTAGTACTTGAGCTGCAATAGGAAGGAGATGGCTGCAGAAAACGGACAGGACCTCAGCCATATTGGGAAGGTAAACATGTACTGAAGTACGACTTGTGCATGCTTCCTACCTTTGGAAGCTATTTGGGCGATGGGGAAAAACACAGCTTTTATAAGTGGCAAGTTTTGAGGTGATACCCTGTTTCCCTGAAAATAAGACCTCCCTGGATAATAAGCCCAATTGGCTTTTGAGTGCATGCACTAAAATAAGCCCTCTTCCAAAAATAAGCCCTCCCCACAAATATTGCAACATAGCAGCAGCCATGAGATGACCATACTCACTGCCTCCTGCACCTCAAAAATAATAAGACCTTCCCGAAAATAAGGCCAAGTGCTTATTTGGGGAGGTCAAAAGAAAATAAGACCCTGTCTTATTTTTGGGGAAAGGTGGGAGGAGTTTCTCTGAAATGGCACACTTTCAGAATCAGGATTTGGGTGGAAGACATTCTAAGGGAAGACCATGGATTCCCCCGACCTCCGTTGCCAGATATGCTTCCTAACAAATCACGTACTCAACCTTTGGTTCGCTGAACAAACCACAGCGCCCTGCAGCTTCCCAACGAGGAGCCATCAATGTAATTGAGACACTGCGGTGGTCGCGCATCATGCTGAGCAATATGCAAATGCATTACATTGGGATTCATCCGGGTTTGGGTCTATCACAACCTGCCAGTGAGATTTTAAGGTGCAGATGTTATTATCCCTACTCTGCGATTTTTACACGGACAGAGTTTGAAGCTGAAACCTTAAGGCACGCAAAGCCCATGTGATCCCACGGCCGGAGGAAATTCCTGCCACTCAGCAGGAGAGCTCAGTTTTATGCCCAAAGGGAAGGAAGGTCAAAGGTGTGAATTTTTACGAAAGGAAAACATACAAGTTAGAAGTAATATTTTTTTGTTCTAAGAAAAATATCAAGCGGCATAAGGCTGCCCCCTTGTGGAAGACCATAGATATAACGTGAATAGTTCAGGGTTGCGGCAGGGTTTGAGAATGCAAAACAGGGCAATGTATACAGTAGTATCCAAAGAGGATCTGCCTTTCATTTTCTAAAGTTAAAGATTCTAGTCCTCATGCACTGCCAAGACAATGCTGAAAGGTACAGGTAGATCTTGACTTACAACCATTTGCTTCGAAGATACGAAAAAGTGATTTATAACCCATGTGTCAAGTTATGACTGTTGCATTTATCGATGGTTGCAGCCTCTGTGGTCACGTGATCGCGATCTGTAACCTTCCTAGCTGGCTTCGGACAAGCAAAGTCCGAAGCCAGCTAGGATTTGTTTAATGACTGTGTGATTCACTTAAGGACCCTGGTGAAAAATGATTGTAAAATTGGGTGCGGTCTCAAGATGACCCGTTTAAAACAACCACGTCACTTAGCAAGCCAAATTCCGCTATCAATTGTGGCTGTTAAGCCGAGGCCTACCCGTAATGGATAATAGACCATCAGAAATACCAAAAGCCGAAGATGGCAAAGCAGAAGCTACCAGTAAATACAAGTGCTTTGTCCTTTAGAAGAGGACTCAGTGAGTGGCGCAGTGGTTAGAATGCAGTACTGCAGGCTATTTCTTCTGCCTGCTGGCTGCCTGCAATTTGACAGTACTAATCTCACCAGGATCAAGGTTGACTCAGCCTTCCATCCTCCTGAGGTGGGTAAAATGAGGACTTAGATTATTGGGGACAATAGGCTGACTCTGTAATCCGCTTAGAGAGGGCTGTAAAGCACTGTGAAGCGGTATATAAGTCTAAGCGCTATTGCTGCATCAGAAATGGCTGGGGGAAACAAAATGTAAAACGGTCTCCATAATTCATATGATCTAAACCTATTTAAGGATTCAGATTCTTGGCGAAGAATCCTAATGCGTTTTCTTTTTTCTCTTTCTCTTGTAGCAGCACAGGGTACCTGTTAGCTTTTTTAAGGGCATCTAGGCTACAATGGGGGGACATTGGGTGATACCCGTGTAAAACATTGCACGGGAGAAGTGGAGAACAAACAGCATCGGACCAGATCATCTCCAGGAGTGGGGTGCTGGGAGTTCGGGAGAACCTCTAACTAAGATTCTGTGCACTTCGGAGAACCTCCAAATCCCACTCCCGGCTTCCTCAGCCTGCCCCTCCCAGGAGTACTCACACGGCCGTTTTGGCTGCAGCAGGGGTGGGTTTCTCGCCCCGTTCCAATTGGTTCGGTTGGAACGGGGCCGGCGGTGTCCTTGTGCACGCGCGCNCCTCTTCCCTCTCTCCCTCCCCGCTCTCCCTCTTCCCTCTCTTCCTCCCTCTCCCTCCCTCTCTTCCAAAGCAGGCAGGCTTGGCTAGCTGGGACTGGATGCTGCAGAAAGAGGGGCTTGAGAGAAACAGGGGATCCCGTGAGCGCCCATCTTGGCTTACCATGGGTTCCTTGGCGTCATCTTCCACCTCGCTGGGCCTGCTGGGGCTGCTCTCGCTTGTGGTGATCTGCACGAGGATATCGGCCTTAGACAGCTGCGTTCCCCGCTTGGCTGTGGAAGAGACAGATAGCGAGAGTTTGCAGAGTGCAAAACCTTTTTTTAAAATTTGCCTCTTCAAAATCTTCGTGCGTCTTATACTCCGAAAAATACAGTAGCTATAGATTCAACCATAGTTTCAGCTGAGAAACTGGGCGTGCGAGACCAAATCTAGTCCAAAAATGCTAAGGAATTCATGGAAGCTTGGCATTCATGGTGGCACAGTGGTTAGAGTGCAGTACTGCAGGCTGCTTCTGCTGACTGCCGGCTGCCTGCAATTTGGCAGTTCGACTCTCACCAGGCTCAAGGTTGACTTAGCCTTCCATCCTTCTGAGGTGGGTCAAATGAGGACCCAGATTATTGGGGCAAGAGGCTGACTCTGTAAACCACTTAGAGACCGCTGTGAGGCACTGTGAAGTGGTATATAAGTCTAAGTGCTATTGCCATTGCTAACTCTGCCCACTGCCAGGAGTTTGATCCTGACCGGCTCAAGGTTGACTCAGCCTTCCATCTTTCCGAGGTCGGTAAATACGAGGACCCAGATTGTTGAGGGGAAATAGGCTGGCTCTATAATCTGCTCAGAGTGTTGTAAAACACTATGGGGCGGGGGCATATAAGTCTAAGTGTGATTGCTAGGTGTGTGTGTCTAAAAGAAGGGAATGACAAGTTCATTATTCCAAAGTGCCCATTAAACTGGACCGTGTGTCATCCCAATCATTTACATTGTCTGCATGATGATGCTACTATGCAAAGCAAGCCCATTATGTCAGCTGCGTAATGAGATCACTGCCCCAATAATGGAAATGAGATCATTGGCTCAATGGCATCAGCAGAGCAGCAGACAACAAAGATGTTGTCATTCTGCAGAGGACCACAATGTGTTCCTTGCACACAAGACGAAGCTGTGTCAAGGCCTGATCCACTGAGATTGTTTTCCCCCTTCTTCGGTGAAGCCAGAAAGGGCCCTACTTGGGGTTCCACCCCTTGCCTAACTATCCCACTGGGCTACTCAAGGTGGCCCCGACCACTGTTGAATGCCATTGTGTTTCTGCCAAGGATTTTGCTTAGCTCCGGGTTTCTCCACATTCCTAAGTTGCTAAGTTTGAGAAAGATTGGTTTTGCTTTAGGGGATTTCACTCAAGAAAGTGTTGGGCCTGCAGCCATCTTTTCTTTTGGGTCTTTGGCCTGCCACACATTCTATTATTCCACTATGCATTTTCTGTGGTGGGAAAATGGGAGTGGGGATTGTACGGAGTTAGATGCTATGTAGCCATAACAACATTCTTTCTAGAAAGCCAAGGTCATCCTTTGTCTTTGCACCTCTGCACCGGACCGGATCTGGATGGGTGGAACTGCCAGTGTGGCAGTGGGAGATTGGACCGTGTGATGGACTTGTGGGTGTGGGGGGCAAGATCTTGAACTTTCAACTGGGTGGGGAAAATCGGGAAGCTTTCAGATTCAGGTTTTCCCAG